TTTTTTTTTTTTTTTTTTTTTTTGGTTTTTTTGAGACAGGGTCTCACTATGTAGTTGAGAATGACCTGGAACTCACTATGTAGCCCATGCTGGTCTTGAACTCACAGCAATCCTCCTGCCTCAGCATCCTGAATGCTGGGATTACAGGTGTGTGCCACCATACCTGGCTAACTAGTTATCTTTTTTAAAGCTAAAGATAGGAATTATTCTGTAAGCTTTGAAATAAAGAATTTCAGTTTTACCCCTCAATGAAAAGAAAACATTCCCATTTAAAGGTTTGAACTCTGAAGTAGAGTGCTTTGGAATAATTCAAAAACAGTGCTGACTAATCATAGCTAGTGATTCCAGTTTTATTCTGTAGGAAACAACTACTTGAAAAAAATCCCCAAAACTAATATGTTTAATATATTCCTTATGACTAAGGAAAGAACCTAGCCCTATTATAAACATTGCAGGTTTGACTTTTATAGCTATAGAGCTGGACTTGAGGGTCCTCTGGTTGGTGTACTGAGTAGAGCATGGAAAGCCCTATACCAGTGCCACAGGTTCTGTCTTAGTGTGTGTGGGGGCTGGGGTTGTCGGTTTCGTTTTGTTTTTAGTATTGAAGAGTGAACCCAAAGCTTCCTGCCTGCTAAGAAAGTACTTTACCACTAAGCTATATCACCAGTCGTTTTTATTTTATTTTGAGATAGGGTCTTGGTAAGTTGCCCAGGCTGAGTTTGAACTTGAAATCATTCTGCCTTAGACTCCAGAATAGCTGGGATTACAGGTATGCACCACCAAGTTTTGTTCTTTTCTTTGCTTCTTGTGATTGCCTTCTGTTTATAGAAGCCTATTGGTAAGTTTGAATTGGTTATCAGGTAGATGTATTATTTGCTTCTTGGTTGTTTATAAAACCAAGAACCCTGATTATATTCATACTATTGTTTATCAAAGAATTCAGTGGGAGAAAAGATAAGCAATTCATCTGCTAAAAAATAAAACTCATCTGCTATGAATGGACATGAAAATGTCACACTATCAGTTCATAAATAAATAATTTAGTTCTCTTAAGATAATAGAGCTACTAATTTAGGTTAATTTCTCCTTACTCAGATTTATGAGCATCCTTTCTGCCTTTCATCTATAGTTCTTTGCTTATGATGTAGTGGCTTTCCACCATTATTGTGCAGGGCTTTGGCAACATCATTTAACTTCTATTCTGAAATGAGGTACAGTAAATTCCTAAGAGCACATGGACCCCCAAAACCATGTGCTCTCACAATGTCACCACTGTTTCTTTCTGGGTTTTCATAAATACATCATTACCACATCATGTTGCCTTTCACCCTGTTACTTATCTGATCTACATCCAATTTTTTATGTTCTCCTATCCCTATTATTTATTTGCTTCTTTCCATATAATCTGCCCTACTTCCTATCATCTCTAACTATAAAATGGCCAAACCATACTGCCTTGGCTTTATTGTTACAAATTCTTTTCAAAAGTTATCCAAATTATCCCGGTAGCAAAGTAGAACAGCTTAAAAATATTTTTGCAGTGAAAAACCCAGAGATGACTTATGTAAATTTGGCCTGCCTTCTAGCTGCAGTTTATGCTCCAGTCTGGGGGAAGTTATGGTACATTTTGTCTAGACACAGTTTGGCCCTCTGTGTTTAGTGCTGTCCACACTGAATCAGCTAAGTTTTTTTTATTCTTCTTTGTTTTGTTTTGTTTTAAAGCAAGCATCCTTTAGGACTGGTAATGGTGACATTAGTGGCATTCATTCAGTTGAATACCTGCAGGTTATCTCTGGGCTTGCTCAAAAGAGAATCTGAACTCCAGTCTTATTCTGAAAGAAGGGACCATTGTCACTGTTAGATTGTAACCCCAGTGGGGATACACATCTGTGGGGTTACGGTTCATTCATGTATATCAGTTGCCATGGAATAGGGCCTCTCCCATTGAAGGCATTCAAGAAGTTTTTGTTAATTTGATTCATGCCTGATGAAGTTATTAATTAATTTAATAAAGCATTTGAACAGGCTCTTTCCCATTAAATAGCACACTATCAAATGGGTATGGCTGAATAAATGTTAATATACTAATTAAAATATGCAGGAAAAAGTGACCACTGTATCCATCATGTGACATGGCATAAATACACATTTCTAAGGCTCTAAGCATATCAGAGAACAAGATTAAGAATGGATTAGAAATACCCTAAAATTTAAGGAAGATCTCAAATTTGAAGGATAATAGATATAAATTTATCTTAAAAATGGAAATCTGAAATTGATAGTCTGTTTACTTGAACATTAAGCATTTTCTTGGGACGTGAGTACTATTATTCCCAATTTAAATGAACAAATGAAGGTTTAGACTGGATAAGATCCTTCCCAAATTTAAAAACTATTTCAGTTGTTTTTATTTTTGTTTTTTCTGGTGCTAGGGATTGAACTTATGACCTTGTGCTTGCAAGGCAGGTGTGGTGCCACTGAGCTAAATCCCAAGCCCCTCAAATTTAAAGATTATGAGATAATGAATATAAATGATTTAAAAATATAGAACATAATTAGACTGAAGATTTATTCTCTCTTTTTCGAAATGGACTATCCCTAGAACAAAAGATCTTAGCTGAAAGTCTATGGTTGTATTGCCTTGTATTTATTAACTTCCTAAAACAGTGTGCATACATTTTGTATATGTGCATTCTTTCCCTTGATGGATAAGTATCCATAGTGTTCTTCAAGTTCCCAAGGTAATTTGATGCTCCCAAAACTTTATAAAACTACTAGATCAATATTTTAGATAGTCTTTGTAAGATATGGCAGGACATCTTGTATATACCATGTATTATGCTAAACATTTATATGCATTAGATCATTTAATCCTAACTTCATAAGGCTATTACTTTTCTGAGGAGTAAGTTAGATTTATTAAAGTTGTATAGCTAGTGAGGGGTGGAACTGGAGAACCAACCAGGTGGAACCAAAGTGCCCTGTTTTTGTTCATTATATAAGTAAGACATTTTGGGTAGACAGAATATTTGCCAAGAATCAGAGTACTTTCAGTCTTAGCCATAATTTCCCCCTTAAACTGTCCTTCACATAGTAACTGCTTCCTGAGCACCCTAAAGCCTTCCCACACTGAAGCAGCCCTCCTCCGTGGAGCCAGCCTTCTAAGCAAAACAGTAGCTCTCTCCAGACTGCTCACCTCATTTTTTTTTTTTTTCCATTACACAGCTAGGCAGGAGTAAGCGAAATTTTATCTTAACTGTCGATTCTAGACTCAAGTCTGGCCACATGGCACAAATGAGCAACCCATATATTTGGAGAGTCTCCAGGAAATCCATCCCCAGCACTGAATGGACCTGGCTATGTTCCAAAATTTTACTAACCTTCCACAAATTGTGATTCCAGACACGTTTATACCTTGGCCCCCAGAATAATGAAAGCCACAAAAGAGGCAGAAATTAAAATGTCAGTCCAGCTGGGCCCACACTGTGGGCCAGCAATTACAATGGAACCCATTGCTTCTTAGGTCACCTGAGGGGAGCACATCTGTGCTTTCCGCTGAAAGAGTGACAAAGTCATCCAGAGCAGTTTTCTAGCTTTTTTTCAACTCACTGTAAATACAGTGTGCTACTTGTCAATAGCAACAAAGCAATAGGAAAAAAAAATTTTAAAGAAATTCAGATAGAAAGCAGCAGTCAGAATTCTGATTTTCATTCAGTTACTTCTGCTATTATTCAGGGGCTAAAGAACCTAAAATATATGACCATGGCTGGAAAGTAAGACAAAACATTACTATTCTGTTGGAGGAAAGCAGGAAGATTACCCAGACCCCCCCCACACACACTTAAGATTCTGAAGGATGGGTAATATTCACTCTGTCACTACACATAGAGGAAACGATTATCCACAGCAAAAGTGACACCTGAGAGGTCACAGTTTTGTGGTATTGTGACAAATTGAAGGCATCAACCTGGGAAAAATAAGTAATACTGAGGACTAAAGTGAGAATTTTCGGTGACAAGGATTAAATACTGTGGGAACAGTAATAATTGCTAATCTCCTCATTTTCTCCTTCATTGCTTACAGCTCCAGTGACTGATGGAAGCCATTCATTTAACCTGAAGTAATCCGTGTTTTCTGTGCCTCTGAATGTGCCAAGTTCTGTGTCTATGATGGCAAACTTGTGAGTCTTTGCTGAGTTTGAAACTGGGTGCGCCAAACAAGTAGATACTTCTGGTATGCCAAGGAAAAACGGAGATTACTCCAGCAAAAGCAACCTTCCTGCCAATCCACATTATAACTCTAAGTGGCATCTGGTGAAGTTAACCAAGAAAATTGATATTTAATCACGGAGGAACTTAACTAACCTGTTTCATGATACCTTTTTATATCTTGATACCACAATATGGATATGGGTTATTTTCTTAGAGTACTTGTCACCTGCTTTGTGATTATGTATTTACTTGGCTTCCTTCTCCACAAGATTACAGGCTTCATGATGGCAATTTTATTCATCGTTCTATCCTCAATACAATAATTTTGGGGACAAAGAAATCAATGTTAAAAGTCAGCACCAAAAAGTCTTCCAGTCTATGCCATAGGAATAGTGAATGCTCCTCAGGTTAGTAAAATGTGGCGTGGGTTACTTGGGAATCTTTAATAACTAGTGATTGTAAACTAAATTTGCATTACGTGTATACAAAACACTGAACATAGTTGTGTTTTGGAACAGGAGGGACCTTTCAGGCTGTAGTGGATAACTGCTGTTTTGTCCTCTATCTCTTGTTCTTCCTTTGGGTAACTCTCAGCCGTGTTGATCTGAGTAATTTCTTCCTCCTGTGCTCTCGGCCCTGTCCTTGTCTTCTTGTACTAGGGCCTCCTCCATCGGTGCACTGGGTCCAGCATTGGTATGTGAGTCTCTGTTCCTCCAGGGAACCACCTTTCCGAGGGACATGAAGCTTTGTTCAGCCAAACTGTCAGCTGGTCTTGTCAGAGGATTGCTGAAACAGGAGGCTGTCTTGTGTTTCCTTTGGAAAAAAATGAGCTGGACCTGTGGGGTCTCTCCACAGAAACCACACAGGAGGGGATCTTGATGGGGATAGAGAGATAAAGGGAAAAAAGAGAGGGTCCTTTTGACACTAATAAAAACAGTAAATCACCCACAGCTTTATTATTATTTTTTCTGTCATTTGCCACAAAAATAACAATAACTAGTACTGAGATTATGCTGTCTTGGTCTTGTTAAAAAATTCATTATTTTACTGGACTGAATATGCTGCTCTAGATATAATATTCTAGATTATGAAGGAAGATACAGGTAACTCAAATGCATGTATTCTCTCTTTAATCTGATAGTTTCATATAGAAAGAACAATTATGACATGTATTTTCATCCTTCCATTCAATAAATATTTATTGAGCCCTTACTATTGAGGGGACATCCTTTTCCCAGGTTATATATTTAGACCATTCTTTGAATTCTTTATCTAATCATAGGGATTCTGGACCAACACTAGTATTTTTTCTTTATGGGGACTCTACTGTGTCAAAATATTCCCTTGTATATGGCATCTGGAGCATACATGTCAGCATTACTTCGATTGTGTTGCACATTCAGTAAGTTCTAGCCATACGCCAGGCTCAAAGTAACACTTCTCCCTTAGAGAAGGAGAAACAAAAGAGGCAAGAGCAAAAAATTCATTAGAGAGAACTCTTGATGGAAACTTGAATGCCTCACTGAGGGACAGATTTTATTTTTCCTATGAGGTAACATGGAATCGCTAAAGTTTTGGAAGAAAGGAGACAGCATGATGAGGTTTACATTTTAGAATGATGTTTTGAACGTATGTGGCCCAGGGACTGGACTTCTAGAAAACCATAGCAGGAAGACTGGCAGGAAGACTAGCTGGTCTCAGTGAGATGTACATCACTAAGGCAATAGGTGTGAGAGTGAGAAGACAGGGATGGTCTACAGCAGCAAAGACATGTAGGTAGGCTACATTGCGGACCTTACCTACTCCAGGTAGGTCAGAGGACAATAGCATCAGTAGTCCCTGTAAAAATCAGAACCTGCAGGTTAAACAGATCCCCTACATCTTGCACAGGCACGTTAAAGCTGGAGGATCACTCACCTAGCTACTTGGCATACAGATGTGAAGACACAACACAGCTGAGGTCACAGAGGTCACATGTCAGTAGGGAGATGGGTTTGATTACTCCCAGAATATGCGAGTTCGGGGAACCCTGAATAAGTTAAAAAGACAAGCAGTGTCTTGTCAGGTAGAGTAGGCAGAAAAAGTGTGTGTGTGTGTGTGTGTGTGTGTCTGTGTCTGTGTGTGTGTCTGTGTGTGCGCGCGGGCATGCTCCATGCAAAAAGCCCAGCATTTGTTCAGAGTAGAAAAGGCACAAATGCCTTGAAACAATAGCAAGAGCAATAGCAGTTTGTGAGCAAAGAGGAGCGTGTATGAAGTGCAGTGTGAGGTCAGTTGAGAGATAAGATACAGATTTCTAATAATGAGAGGGATTTTGATTGTTATCCAGAAGAAAATGGGAGGACAAAGCCAGAGCAGTATCAGGAAAGCTGTACAAAGAGAGCAACGGACACAGGCTTCTCTGAGGGTTCTAACCACAGCCCCTTCGTTGGTGGAGCCTACTGCTTTAAGCATTTTTAGTTTTGACTCCATTTAAGTAAAATTTATTGAGCATATTCTCTGCAATAGACCTTATGCCAGTTAAAGGAGAGATATTAAAATATATGAGATGTGATCTCTGCCCTTTAGGATATTCTAGTTAGTAATGACATTCTGCTTCATTAGAGAAGTTTATGCATAGTCAAACCAGGAAGAACTTCTAGTTAATCATTCGCTGGATCTTCTCACATGGGCTGCTTCTAAACCCGTTTTCCTACCTCCTGTTCTTATCTTCAGTATTTGATTTTTTTAAATACAAAATTTTACATTTTTCTTGGTTTCAGGCCATCTTCCCAGCCTGCTATTTCTTTCTGAATCTTGCTTCAGTCATCAGTTCACTAGCTCTCTCTTCCAACTTTATTCTGCGTGCAGATCTTATGAACATGTTTCCTTTTTGTTAGTGTAAGACTCTACTTAAAAAATTGGTGACAGAAATGAAAAGGAAAAAATGGAAACAAAGCTTATGTAAATAGGGAGGGATTGAAGGGACAGAAGGGGAATGGGAAAAGATAAGAACCAAGATATATCACGTACAGGTACAAATTCCCAACAATAAATGTGATCATAATGTATAATTAAAATGTACCAATAAACTTAAAAAAATTGGTGACAAGTTTCAGGAGTTCCTTTAGCCTCAGCATGGGAGTGGGAGAAAGCTCTTTCCAGGGATTGATTAGTCAGTGTGAGTTAGAGTGCCATTTGACATTTTGTCCTGCCACACATCTCCCTATTTTGAAGATAGATGTAAATGCCTATTTATAGATAGAAAACACCTGTGAAAACCTACATCACAGCATTTGTGATCCTACATTTTCACCTTCTTATATACTTATATATAAGGTGCTAGTGTTCTTCTTATCACCATATGATGGGCATTAAATAAATATTCAGTAAAGGCAAGAGAAAAGAGATATGAAATCCCTTAGATACATCACGGATAATCAATTTAATGGACAGGATATGTCAAAAAGGCCTTGAGTTTGCTAATAGAATTCTGATTAACAGGCATGTACAATATCATGAAAGTCACAATGTAATTCAGAAAATTAGCTTCCAAAATTAAAAACTGTTTTTGATGTTAATTCTCTTGAGAGATTTGTAGTTTATCATTCTGTCCTGGTGTGTTTCACTTTTTTCTTTGATGAAGCCCTGGATATCACTGGTACTTATTTTTAAAACTTACTTTCCTTAATTTTTTACTGCCTTGATGTTTTTCTTAGTGTATCTGAGTTCCGGTTGGGCAAAAATACTCTGTAATTTTTATTGGGATTTCTCTACAACCCACTTACCAGTTCTATGTTATGGATTTCATTGGTATGAGCGTGTTCAACCCTAACCAGTGAGAACCAAGCATACTATTGATTTATAAAAAATGAAATGGATGGGAAAGGCTAAATCATTCATACACTTCTTTTGATTTCTACCCTGCCCGTTATGCTGGTGTGTTTGCAGAGCTGAGGTTCAAATGAGACCTCATCCTATAGCTTGAACTTTTAACCTTGCACACACAATTTTGTTCAGGAATCAAAGACATAGAGTGCTGTACTGAAAGTGTCCTTAGTGATCATCTAGCTCAGTACATAATATGTAGATTTGGTTGATTCTGCCACATTCTGGGCAAAATGAATTTCCTATTTGAGGGCAAAAGATAGGTAAGGAAATAGGGTAGAAGAGGGATCAGGGCTGGGTGGGTTAATTCTAATCCCAGACTTCTAGGAGAGGGCATCCATTCCTGAAGGTTTAGAATTGGTTGGATATTATTATGCAAGCCTTTAAACCCACACCGATGTGTTTCCTCATCAATAAAATACTTAATTAGTAATGAAATGAGGTTGGCATGTAGTTTTACTTTTAACTGCCACCACTTAGCTATATGACATAGGCAGTTTTTTGAACATTTACTGAGTGCTAACACTATGCCATTTTTAAAGAAGCACATTTCAGGAAAAAGGGGCATATTCCTACAGTGTCCCCTGAGCAACAAGGGGTAGGGGGATGTCAGGACTGCCCAGATTCACTCTGCAGAGGTGATGAGACAAAGACTCCTTCTTTTAACATGAAAAATTGTTACATTAAAAAGCACAGAGAACCCCAAAGTATAAATAATTTAAAGAGTAAGACAAAACATAGTGGACAATGGATAGGGAAGTAGACCTTTTGGAGATGGGAGGACATCTGGGGATGAGGGAGAGGGGAAGAGAAGGAAAGGGAAAGGGAAGGAAAATGATTAAAATTATATATATGTATGTATGTTTTGACTCCCCATGATGAAGGCTTTCGTTGTTTATCATAAACATGTACTAATAAAACAATTTAAATGAACTAAAATAACCTAGAAAGATAAAAGCAAGTTTCTGTTTCCACAGTGAAAATATCTAATATGAAGATCTTAGTATGTGAAATGAAGCCAGTTTAAGTGAATTCATTTTGGTGAAAGTGAGAGAAAACTGCATGTGCCTAAGACACACATCGGAAGCAAAAGAACTGAGGGTCAGGGGACACATGACTGCACAACGACCACAAAGGGAAAAGAGGCAGCTATTGAGAAGATGAGAAAAACATATATGCAAAATGTATGAAATCAACTATGTATATTGTGAATCATAAGCACAGTACTGTGTTTTGGACCTGTAGTCACAAAGATTGAGATAGAAAATAAAAACCTCCACTTCTGTGTCTGAGTTATCAGTGCTTACCCCTCACTGTCCCCTTCCCTTCCTCCAACCTTCACTCTCATAAGGCTTGGTTGAAGGACTCTCAGTCTCATTTAAAAGTGAGGATGGGTAAGGGAGCACTATTTTCACCTGAGCAAGCCAGATGTGGCAGCCTCCATGAAGAAAATCTCCATTTGTTTTTTGTTTAGGGGAAGTCTTTTGATTTTTTTTTTGGCTCTGTTTATGCAAAAATAATATAGAGTAGCTGACATATTTCAAATGTGTATTAAACGCTCAAGGTGCCCAGGGATTTAGCTCAGTGGTTCGTTCCGCTGCCTGCCTTGCAAGTGCAAGGTCCGCAAGGCCCTGAGTTTGATCCCTGGTACAAAAAGTTGAGAAAGGGTTTGGCGCAGTGAATGAGATGAAAGAGAAAACTGTGCCAGGCGAGATGAAAGCCATGCAAAGAGCAGTTAATCATCCCAGCCTGAGATAAACAAGAGAAATCCAGTGTCTCCACAGAGACAAGGAGGAACACAGCGATTCACTGCAGAAATATCTCTAACATTGAAGTTACTGGGCTGGTTACTAAGCCTACTATTTCTGCTCTGTCAAAGTCATCCCATTAAATCTTAAAATAAGCCTGCAACTGGATAACTTACTCTTATAGAAGTCTTATGTAATATATGCAAATGTGCATTTGGATTATTAGGCTTTTTTTCTTAAAGTTGTACTTAAGTAAAATCTTATGAAAGCTTAAGATTTTCTAAAAGAAATGTGTATCTAAGAGCATCTCTAAAAAAAGCCCTGAAGAACAAGGTTGTCTTGAGAGCTACCAAGAGGTTCAGAAGAAAAGGTCTGTATGGACAAGAACTGCTGTGGCCTGGTGCTGACTTATGTACTTATTTTGGACCAGCTCTTGCAAATTATTTAGCCCCCAGAACTGATGTATGCTCTCTCCAAGTGGAAAGAGTTCAGAAACTAGGGTCAGAAACCCTGAGTTTGAGTCACTGCCTTGTTATTTATGAGCTATGTAGTTAACAAAGAATTTAATACTCAGGGGTTTTATTTTCAGTACTAGGAATTGAACCCAGTGCCTGCACACTGAGCTACAGCTATAGACCTTTTCTATTTCTTATTTTGAGACACTAAGTTGCTAATTTGCCCAGGCTGGGCTCTAACTTGCTGGCTTCCTGCCTCAATCTCCCATAGTGCAGAGATCCATAAGACTGGAACAGCTACTATTATCTCCTTAATCCTCAGGACTGTTGGGAAAAATATATGAGAATATATATATGTATGTATAAAATGCTTTGCAAACTTTAGAGGACAATAAACAATTTGGCCCTTGCTGTCACTTCCTCAGTTCATTTAGGCATCACAGAATGCTGGCAGGATAAATGAAAGAAAGTCATTTATTATAGAGAGTCCTAGAAACTACAAGTCACTATAGCAAGTGAGGGCATACTTCATTTCTGTTGGTGAAGGCAGGCATAAGCTAATGAGAAAGCCAGACCCATATAGAAGATGTGTAAAACATCTTCCATCTATAGTTAAAGTAACACTGTGAGGTTCTTTTCTTATTCCTTTGTATTGTAGAGGGTGTTGGGGGTTGGGTAGCTCTGAGGAGAGAGTGCAACACAAAAAACATTTGCTAAATTATGGGATGGGGCATGGGGGGACGCTACACTTTAAGAGCCATAAAATGACTGAAGTGATCACACAAAAAGGAGATTTTCTAATTCCATTTGGGCTATAATCTGATTTCACTGTTGAATACAATGCCCCTTTCACAAGGCTCTGAAGTCAGTATGAGAGCTGTGCTGCAGAAGTTTTCCACCCAGCAACAGGATGATGTCAGCGGCCAGAGAGAGCAACCAATCAGCAGGCAGAATGAATCAGAGCGTGCTGGGATTTTGCTCAACTGTCTCCTAGCAAAGCAAGCTCAGCTCTGAAGTGCAGGGGCTATTCGCACTTCCTCTGCACTTGAAGCAGAGACTGAATGGCTCCTTACTTAAAAGGATACCAAATGGGTGTGCAAGCAGTTAAGATTATTTGCATCCAAACAGCCAGTCCTATGGATAATGAGTCATACTGACACTTTTTTTCAAGTACTTGTTTTTTTGTTTTGCAATGAAAAAGCATTAGTGAATATTTTAAAGGCTTGATTTTTATGTCGTGCCTTTTAATTGTTTGGAATCTGTTTTGTTTCATGCATTCTGTGGTGCTGGTCAGCTGATGAGCTAATAGCAAATGAACCATATGTAAAGTTCAGTATATATTCTATAAACTTTATAGAGTTTGAACTTGCCTGTGATGTTTCATGTCTTCTCTCTAATGACAAACAGTCTGGAAATCAGCATCTTGTTTCATTTCTAGTTCAAAAGCCCTAGTAGTCTAATTCCACCAAGATATGTTTTTTGCATGCTTTAAAGATAAGTCTAAATGGGAAGGTTATGACATGTGGGCATTTCTTTCATAGGTAAAGAGAAGCTTTGTATTATTATACATTAATTCATGTTTCCGAAAACATGAATTATCTCCAAACATTTTGCAGGCTCTCTGATCTTGGTAGACAGTGACAGAAGTACTGGAAGACGGTATGATTGAAGGGTTAAACTTACCTACCCAGCATTAAGGTTTATCACACCTCCCAGGCACACACCTCATCTATGCTAGCTGAGGCTTGAAGACAGTTTCTCCTCTGAGTGATAAAAACACACCTAAAGGATAGAAATATAACAACAAGGGAATGATTTTCCATCTTGTCTTCTTTCAGAATCCTTGGTAGGTCTCAGGGGATGACACAGACTATGATTTATTAACCCAGACCTACTCCAACCCTTTTCTCTTTCAATAGTTTGCTTCTTGGCTGACTGACTCCTTTTCTTATGACTGAAATGAAAACAGGACCTATAAAATTGAACGGATTTGAGCTAATTAGGGACATGCCATCCTGATATATTAAGAAGACTGAGTTTGAAATATACATGAAAAAAAAGCAAATAATAAAGTCAAAGGTTGAGACTGCGCTGGAGGAGAGCACACAGGTGGGTTGCCTTGGATTTGCAGCCCAGCTCCATTATTTACTGGCTCTGTAGCTTAGGCCAGATCTCCATTCCACAGGTGCAAACCAGGGCAATGTTTAGTTGCAAGGATGATTGTGAAGATAAACAATCTCTCACAGAGCACAGGCAGAACACAGAGCAGCTACTTAATTCATGGACCCTACCCCCACCCCCTTTAAACTGGAAATAAACAACTTGTTGGCAAATAGAAATCCCAGAGAGACCCACTTTCACAAATACTGTGGGATTTGTAATTAGCATGTAAAAGGATTGCTTCCAAGCCCTGAAAGCATGTTGTCCCTTAAAGGCTCTTAGACAAGCTCAAGAAGCCTTGTTTACACTCTAGCATTAATTTGCTTAGCAAATCCTCACTGCTAGGGCAAAATTAAATTTCAGTTTAGATTCTGTTTGACTGACCCCAAATTATAAATGAAGGTGCCTTTAGTGTGGTCTCAGTTTCACTTTTCTGAGAGCCTTGAAATTAATGCAATGAGCCTTCTAATGACTCTATAACATCTTGGCAGTCTTTACAAGAAGCAAAACCTGAAGTACTCGCATGTGAACCAGTGTTGCCACCATTCCCTTCTTCATCACAACATCACTCAAGGGAACGTGCTCCTGGTGCCAGAGGAGCTTAGAAAGGCTGTCTTCAGAACAGGACAGACCAAGAGTCTGTGTGGAGGTGACAGCTTTAGGACAGGTTAGAGGTTACAGCAGCTGCGGTGCCCAGAGACAACTCAGAAGGAAGTTGAGTGGGGGATGCACTTCCTGGGTGAGACCAAATCAGCTATTTTGGACTTCAGTTCCTCCTCAGTCAGTAGTCGAGAAGATTATAAAAATGGCAACATTCTATGATTTGTACTGGCCATTTCCCCTAAAATATGCAATTTGCTGACTAAGATATGATACCGTAGGTTCACTGTTCACTCAAGGTCTCCTTCCCACTATACAGAAAGATGAATTGATGATGGTTGCTTGGGGATTTATGGAAGATGCCATTAGGATGGTAGGATGGGAGGCTCTGAATAGAGATACAATAAGCAAAAAGTTGAAGTCTCTTGACAGTACTTCCCTTGTTTCAAACACTTCAAGTTCAAGTGGAGAAGTTAGAAATGGGTATAGGCTGCAATGAGAAAATGGGCCACTATACACAGGCCATACAAATCTTTACCTGTGTTTAGTCATGGGCAGGCAATTTATTCTACAAGAGTGTCATTTTGTGGTCAGAACAAGTAGATGTCGTGTTATGGGGTAAATTGACATGGATTAAATAAATTGTGTATTTGGAAGGGACTCATTACTTGGAATTAGTTCACTGAAGATATAATTAGTTAAGATGAAGGTAGAACAGGATGGTCACCTTATCCAAAACAACTGGGGAAGGCAGACACACACAGGGAAAACTCTGTGTGCACCCAGAGATGGGGCACAAGACAAGAGACTCTAAAGATTATCGGCAAACCATCACAACATAGGAAGAGTCAGAGTCAGAAAGAGTCATAAAAAGAATCAGAGAAAGGTTCGGTGGAACTTGGCCATGCCGATGCCTTAATTTTGAACTTCTATTCTTTTGAAGTGTGAGACAATAAATTTGTGTTGTTTTAAGCCACCATTTGTGGTACTTTGCTATAGCAGCCAAGTAAACTAATACATATGGCAGTACCAAAATTACGAATGTTATCCCAGACTGGATAAAACTCCCAGCTGTGTAAGCGTAGGCAAGGTACTTGACCTCTCTGGGAAAATCTTCCTTGTGCAATATGGGTGGAGTAGCTGACTCAGAAAGACTCTAAACTCTTTGGGGACTATACAGTTACTTTCCGATGTATTATAGTGTTTCTGTCTGATCTAGGTATTGGTCATTCCCCATCTCTCCACTTGTACTAGTCCATGTCTCATTTTAAGGCTCAGGTTTTTCTTGCTTGGAAAACTGCCAGTGTGT